TTGACCCAGAAGATACATAATGCAGTAACTATACAATGTTCCATGCTTTTTCAAAACATATATTGGATAGGGCTGGTTCCAAGTGATTAAAGGAAAAATATTAAAATGTGAAATATTAGTAGATTTCTCACAAACTATACCATTGGGGTAAAAATGAGATGAAAATGTTCAGACATATTTCTAAGTTTTGCTGCTCAAAAGACCTTCACAGATCATGGGTTCCACCCTACTTTTATTTTGTTAAGAAGACTTGCTCAGTCAGATGTGGCTTTCCTCAGTATTTACAACAGTAGCTCTTAACCTTTCATCCACTATTGCTCACCAAATGTGAAGCTTTTATCATCCAATGCTCCCTAAACCACATGTAAAAATTGGGACCTAAAAACAGCATCTCAGACAAGGCAGCTTTATATAGGAGTATTTATGACATAGGAATACAATGCACAGATCTCAGGCATACGTTCTCTACTTAGACATGCATGTGTGTCTTTAATGAAATCTGATTAGTCTTGTGCATGGAAGAATATGTTGTTGTTATTTTCCGCAGGCAAGGAAGAGGTATTCCAATTTGATTTCTGTTTGCTACTTTTTTAAAGGCCTGGGGAAGAATTCTAGGATTGAGGATTTTATTTTCAAGCTGAGTGGTACATAAAACAACTCTACTTCACTGGTTGTCAGAAATCATTGCAAGTGGGGAGAAGGGGCTGCCTAAAATCCCCAATCCCCCATTCTTAATGCCCTCTAAGATTTGTAGATCACCCTCTGCAGGGCCCTACTGCCCTAGTTAAGAATTACTGGACTATATACTACAAAACCAACAAAAGCCTTAACTACACTTTACCATTCCCTATGGCTACTATTACGGCAATTTTGCATTTCCTTTTTTCTAATGGGGTTTCTTTTTTTCTAATGCTATTAGAGTTTTTAACTCAATGGTGATTTCACAACTTTTGTGTGGTGTCCGTTATATGTATGGATTTCTGCTGTAGACAGTTCTATAAATAGAGGACATTCCTCGTTGCTTCGGGCAATCGGAGGGCTCCCCAGGTGCATTTTGTCATTGGCCCGTTGTTATGAATTTGGTCTTAGCTCTACAGAAGCCTGTGCCTGGGTACGTGCCTTTAATTTTTGATTTTGGTTGAATCTGCATTTGTCTTTCCCACCAGTGTCCCAGCTGTCTACATTTGGTGTTGTTTTCACACCTCAAGAGTGCTAGCATACTTTTGCATGTCCACATAAGCTTTTCGTCCTTTCGGGGAGGCTCCACTGTCATTGCACATCTGCACTGCTTTAAAAGAATCTTCTCCAAACAACATTCAAACAAGCATAGAGAAAGATGGCGTCACAGCAGCATGAAACTAATTTAAAAATGCAAATGCAGATTCAACCTTCATCTATTTTGAGGCCCCTGAGGGTAGCTTGGTAAGCCTAACCCTCAGGGGCTCTTATAAGGCTCCCTGGCTCCAGGTTTTTGAACATAAGTAATCTCTTGTAAAGGTGGAGGATCTTTTTTCTTCCTCTATAAATCGATACCAAAAAACATGTGGCCAAATTGATTTATGCCAGAGCCAAGAGTCATATTTATTTTGATGCTCAGAGTCAGAGAGAGGGCATGTTCTCTACTTGCCTTGGGTCTTCCGTCTAATGGTAAATTCTCTTATTTAGATTATTTGGTTAGCCCAAAGTTTTGTAGGATCTTCATGCACTCACAATTTAACTGCCCCTTTTCAATGGTATTGCTGGGTCGTCTGCTAAGGATCCCCTTTTCAGACCAGTGATGTCCCTGCCCCCTCCAGTCAGTGGACTGGCCCAGATCCAGCCACGCGGGGGGAACCCTGCCCCCAAAGTGCCTGGATCAGGCCAATGTGCCTGGCACAATGACACCACCCGGAGGTGACGTCATCGTGCGGGCATGTCGCTGGAGGGAGACACTCTAACATTCGGCTTGAAGACTCTATGGTATCATAGAGTTTCTAACCAAATGCTAGAGCGTCCCCCTGGCAACATGCCTAGTGCAATGATGTCACTTCTGGGTGATGTCACTGCGGTGAGCACCAGAAGATCCTAGGAGAGGAGCTCCCCCCCCCCACCAGCAAAAGGTAGGGACCTGGCAACCCTAATACAGCAGATGGCTTTGAGCTGTTAGAATTATGCAAATAAGCATGGTTGGTGAGCAGGGCTAGACAACGTTGCTTTGTATGAGAATTGTTCCATATTTTATTGTGGGGAGTACGTTCATCATCCTAATCAACAGAAATGAGTGTCCCCAAATCACTGGGGTCAAGGGCTTTATCATTCTATCAGAAGGCTGGTATTCATATAAAAACATAGGCTCTACCTTTTATTCTTTATCAGGTACAAATATTTTCTGATCCTTTTCCCTTGGTAAACCACTTTTTATCCCTTTCTGGCTTGTAAGGATGCCTCATTAAAGTATTTGTATGTCAAGAAACTGGCTTTCTAACCGCTTCCTCACCTTTCAAATTTTGCTTTTAAAAGTTTGGTTCAAGCTTGTAGCATAGCAAATTCATAGGAGCTTCTCTCTCTGAGAACTTGAGGTCATGCTGACTGCAGTTTCAGAGGAGGTGGAAGTTAGACATGGGTGTCAATGAAGTCATGGGGCCTACAGGATTTCAAGGCCAGAACCCAGATGGAGCTCTGCCCTCGCACTGCATCTCGTTAGCACATGGAAGCCTGAGCAAGGGAGGGTGATTTGCTTAATTAGGCCTATGCACAGCTGTATATACAGCCTCAGCGTCTAGTCATGCCAGCCACATGACCATAGAAACAGCTTCGGACAGCACTGGCTCTTTGGCTTGGAAATGGAGATGAGTCAGATTCAACTGGCTTTTGAGCAAGGGAAACCTTTACCTTTACTTACAGCTGCAGAGTATGTTGCCTCATGACTAGCAGCACAACTGATTGGTCAGATCACCTGCTTAGGAATACATCTGATTGGTCAACTAGGATCATGCTAACTACCAGCAGTTTGGCATAAAGGAATAACTTCTAGTTGGTACCTTCTTTTGGGTCACTTCATGACTCTAGGTTGAGGTCTTGTGTGGCTGGGAGACCTGCCATTTGGACTTTGAAACTCTGTCTCAGTCTGGTCAGGTATCATCTGGATTAGAGAAGCAAAGCTTATAAATTACCTATTTAGCTCTTATTTTATTCCTTGCTGTTCCTTGCTTTTATATTTGTATATTCCAGTACATTTCTCTTTTAATTATATTTTGTGGTGTTCTTTAGGTTTTGGGGCTTCAATTGACTATAGCTGCCACAGTAATTATTTTGTGGAACTCAGCATGCAAGTGTCCCACCTTGCAGGGCTGACTTCTTGATTAAGACTCTAGGGCTAGAGACTGTCTCTTGGTACTGGTGGTGGCTAGTTAGCCTGGGGCAAGGCAATTCACCTCCAAGCCTTTTTGGTGATTGTTCTTGCCTAACCTGTCAGTGACCCCTAATAAGAATTGTGACACCATCTAGAAAGAGGTCCAGACCTCCCGTTTCCCTCTCTAGAAGTGCAATCTCTGGAGGGCTGGATTAATCTTGCATTTAATACAGATCCAGTTCAGATCATGAACATAATCACTAAGTCACTATGTTGTGGGCAACCTGCCATTTTACACCTTGCTGCTTCTGCAATGTTTTTGACCGTGACAATATATTATAGAATTGTGTTTGTTAAAGAAACCTTTAACAGTGGGGGGGGGGGGGGACACACACCTCCTCTTGGTTTTTAAATAAATGGAGAAATGTTTTCAGGAACCCTCAGAAATGCACAAATAGGTATGGGGGGGCAGTTAGGAAATGATCTCTGGTAAGAGAACTGTATTGTAACAAACATGCCCTCAGTTTGCACCTGTGACACAGTGAAGCATATGTAAATTACCCCAATAGAAGCCTATTCACACTACCTTTTGTTCCAGAATGTATAATTTAGTTTATCATGGCATCAATCATGTAATATACAACCACCCCCATTATAGCCATACTCAGAAATTGCTGCCACTGTTGGGAATAGAAAAATACCTCACCCAATGACTTCAGAAGAACATGAAGTTGAACTACACATTATTGAGGAACAGGAAAATGAAGAAGGGCTTTTCTGACTAGAAGAATGGATTACACTTCCCCCACTTCCAGAAGTAAAGCACAGGTGTATATGTGGGGGGTAAAGAGGCACACCTACAGGGTAGCAGATCTACTACCCTACATCAGATCCTCTCTCAAGAGGTTTCAGCCAACTCCAGGCAGTCTTGCTGCTTCTCTTGGTCTCTTCCAGAATCTAAGCTCCTGTTTCTTCTCTCCCAAACTCCCTTCAGCTGAAGGGGTGTGTGTCACCTCTTCCAAACTCTCATGGATGCATCAGAAAAGTCAGATAACTATTTCCTAATAACTGGTTCCCACTGAAAAACCATCCAGTCATTAACATTACCATCATTCATAATAGACTCTGACTCTGTCATTACCACCCCCCATAGGACTAGATGCCAAACTCAAGTATTTAGAAGTCAACCACTAGCTTCATCTCTGGCCCCCTCTTCCACCACCATGGGTAACTTGGCAGTGGAAAAATTACAGGTGTGACCCCTGAGCATCTGAGTGGGGGTGCTAGCCCTTCCTCTTACTTTCATGTGATGCTTTGAAGAATGTAAGATCATCAAGAGATTCCTGCTGGATCAGACTAACCGTCTGTTTTTTAAGCATCCTTTCCCCCTGCAGTAGGACGTCCACATGCAAGGCATGAAGGCAACTGTCTTGCCCATGATGTACTGACAGATACCTAAGGCACACTAAATCAGGCAAGAATTAAAGGGAAATGTTTTATTTATGAAATCTTGAGTTAAACAAACATTATAACTTGTAGACAATACAAAAATAAGAGATAGTCTTGCTTCTGACAGCCAAAGTGCAGTAGTGTAAGTCACATGATACATATACAAAATTATTATTAAAAATAACAAAGCACCAGTTTCTTACAAAATATCATTTTAGTGTACAAAAAAGAAGCTTGCCAATTCAATAATTTAGTTGTAAATTTAGCATGTGTTAATAACAGCTAATGGCTACTGTTGTGGCAAGCCCTCACCAAGGAGCTGAATGGTGAGTGTGTAATTTTTTTCTGTCTGTACCACTAACAAGCTTTTGAAAATGCCTGTGGACACAGGCCTGAAGAAGACCGGTAAGTTGCAGTAGTGATGACATCTGCAAGAGACAAGTTCACAAAAATCAGATACACTCTATTCTTAAGCGGCTTCAGGTTTGACTGAGATGTCTGGCAAAAGCAATATTAATACAGCACCTGCTAGCTACATCATCCTTTCTGGAGTTCAGTATAGTTGCTCTGCCCACAATGATAGCAAGAAGTTATCTTACTAACTGGCCAGAGCATTGCAGCCTATTGTCATTGGCACTGAATGGCAGGAGGCTTGGAAAAGGCAGCTGTTATTAACTGTACTAGCACAACCAAAAGAACCAAGTTCGGAGCTAGGCCATGTTTCCTTTATTGAGACAGCCTTCCATAAGCAGAATGGAAACAGCAGTCAGTGTTGTTTGAAATGGGCAGACCAAACAGAATATTCTTCCCCCACTGACTGTTTCTATATGGCTAAAGTGGAACCAAGAGGGGTGCTGATTGTAGAAGCTGTCTGCTCCACCAGGACAGCTAAAACAAAGACAACATCTTCCCTCCTTCTCTCTTGAACTGAGGAACATGGTTAAGATGTAAAGGTTGTAAATAGAAAAGTAGTGGCTTGGGAATCTCCACAATTTCCTGAAACAACTCCTTCCTCCTTTGTGTTCTTTCCTTTAATCTCCCTCTTTTTTCTGTTTTTCTATTATGTAGTACTGTTTGCAAAAGGTAAAGTTCATTATGCTGGAAAACATAAGAAAACAGTGCACCAATAGTTAAAGTTGTAGCACCTAAACTGCATAATTCTCCAATAAATTTTAGTGTGAGTTTAGTGTGCGTTCCTCCTCAATGGGGACCCAAAGCTGCGTATAAAATTATTCTCTGCTCCTCCACTTTACCTAAACATCAACCTAGTAGGTTAGGCTGAAAGAGAGTGGACAGTAGCCACATTCAGTGCATCTCTAGTCTGGACAGTCTGCTCCGTAATGTGCCAGCCATATGGAACAAGCCTTGCCCCACCCTTGTTCTTACAGATGCACTTTAATACAGCCCCTTTAGACTGAGTTGGTGCTTCAATCAGCTTCCCACCTGGCTCTGCGTTGTGCCAGGGGAGGGGGTCAGATTGGCTCGGCTCTCCTCCTCCTCACCTACTAACCACGGGGCTCAGAGTCTCCTCCAGGCTCCACTGCAACTCTGAAAATCAGACTTCATAAATTGCAGCTATGCAGGTTATAGCTGTACTTCACGCCTTTAATGCCCATTTTGCAAGTGTGGATTTTAAGGGCACAATCAAATACAGTTAGATCACTATTAAACCACATTAAATGTACTAAGCTGAACATCTTTAGTTGTCTCATGGAAATTATAGAATCTAGTTTACCTGTTTATGGAGTTGAATCTATGATGCCAGCTCAAATGTCTAGGATTAAGTGACTGTACCTCACTGAATTGGCTATGCTAAGGATTCTCTCTCACACATACACATTATAAAATTGCGAGGGAAATATTAATTTCCCCCCTGAGAGTTATATGTTACATTATATGTTCAACAAAGAAGGTTGAATTCAAAATATGACAATGGAAAGAAGTTTTTGGAAATGGTCTTTGTCTCTCCCCACACACTTGCAGTTCACTAAGCCCCAGAAAATTCTGATCCTAGTGGTCAGAGGAACCTTGTAATGAATAATGGGCAGGAAAGTGTGTGGGTGTGGAAAGTAATCAGCAGAAACTGCACCCTCCCCTTCTGCTAGCTGCTGTTATGTTGGCAGAACAGCACTTTGGGATCAAGTGTATTTGTATGACAGACAGCTAACTAACTAACTAGGTAACCACAATGGGACACAGCTTACGATTACATGTATGTGTATATGTTTGCTACCACCAGGGTGTGAAACCACCTTGACTATGCGAAGGAAAAATGAATTACATTTAATAAAGGAGGAAACAAGTGCTGTATTTAAATTCTGAACTCTGGCAGTAAGTCTTTCATATACCCATATGAAACTATTAGTGCATTGCTCCAGAACGAAATTTAACGGCACTAGCTATTAACTCCACAATACAAAGGCTTTATCATTAAGCAAACTAGTACTTCCATTTACAAGATCCAGCTTCAGAACAATGAAACAACTCACCTTAAGTTATAATGAGAATGCTTGATGTAAAAAGGCTCCCTGGGTTTTAAAAATTTCAGCTGCAATTTAATAAGAAACTGTTTAGAAAAAGCATGTTATTTTATTTGTGATAAACAGGGTTCTTTTAATGGAAATCAGGTATATACCTCCTTATACTAGATTTCAACAAAAAGATAACAGATGTAGGTTTAAATGAAAGGTTTAGTCATCAAACCACAATACAGGTTCCAAAATAAATGGATAAAATCTTAATCCAACATTTGGTTTTAATAAACGCTATAGTTTTTCAGATGAAACTTGCAAAAATTCTGGTAGACAAATGAACATATCATGCAATACTGATACAAATATAAGGCCTAGTTAAGGTCAAGCATTAAGTGTGTTGCAGATAATTATTAATATCTTATATTCTAACAGAGAACTTGGGATAACTTTGGATACTTAAATCTGGTGACTGGAGCTGTGAATGGGCAAGACAGATCATTCTACAAACCTGAAAAGGGTCCCAGGTTTGCAGAAAAATGTGAAATCTAAAAAAAACCCCAAAACAAAACACTGGGCAGCTTTAAAAATCCGAAAATGATAAAAGCAGTGCCTGTAGCTTTAAGCAACGGATTCCCTCAGTGGCTGTTGCTAGGCAACCACAGCATTCCAAGCTTGGCTCTGTCAGTAAAAGGCAAGGGGAGCACCATTTCCAGGCCTATTTTGGCCTTTGAGGGAGAACTCAATGGGGCCAGGCCTGGCTAGAGTTGCCAATTCTAGGTTGGAAAATTGGTGGCGATGTTGTGAAGGGGTGTTAGGGTTTTGGGAGAGGAGAAGAGAGGCTTCCGCATGATATAATGCCACAGAGTCCACCCTCCAAAGTAGCCACTTTCTCCAGGGGGACAGATGTATGGAGTTCCGTTGTAGTACTGGGAGATCTCCAGGCCCCACTTGGGGGTTAGCAACCCTACTGACAGCAACCTTTGGATGACTTGATGCCACCTGACTTGCATGACTCAAGTAGGCCTGGCTGGTTGCTACTATTCAACAGCAGCCAACCTAAGAAAGCCAGTGTGGTGTAGTGGGCAGAGCTTCAGAATCAGGTTCAGATCCCCATCTTGCTGTGCAAGCTCACTGGGTGGTTTTGGACCAGTCACATACTTGCAGCCTAACCTACCTCACAGGGCTGTTGTGTGTATAAAAAAGACAAAAAGAGAATAATGTAAGCTGCTTTCGTCCCCACTGTGGAGAAAGGTGGTATAAAATGAAGTAGATGAAAAATAATTATGCGAAGGGTGGGAGGCAGATAAAAGGTAGGTTGGAGAATGGCTGAGGAGAGAATGAGGCAGGGAGAGGAAAGAGGGATTGCTAAAAGAGGGAAAGGTTAGGAAATTCCTAGAAATTTGGGGTGGGAGAGCTTGGGGAAGGTGGGGTTTGAGGAGGGTAGGGACCTAAGGGGTATAATGCCAAAGACTCCACCCTCCAAGGCATCCATTTCCTCCAGGGGAACTAGGGTTGCCGAACTCCAGGTGAGGACTGGAGACCACTCGGAAGTACAACTGCTTTCCAGATGACAGAGATCTGTTTCCCAGGAGAAAATGGCTGCTTTGGAGGGTGGACTCTATGGCACTGAACCCCACTGAGGTCCCTGTACTCTCAAGGCTCCACCCCTAAATCTCCAGGGATTTCCCAACCTTGATCTGGCAATCCTAAAGGGAACTGATCTCTGTAGTTGGGAGATCTGTTGTGATTCTAGATATCCAGCTGCTACCTGAAAGTGAGCAACCCTAGAAGGAGAGAAGGAAGCAGGAAAAGGGGAGAAACTATGGGGGCTTTCAGAAAAGGGAAAACAGTAGGAGAGGAGGAAGTGAGATGCCCCTTCCAAGTCCTTGCGGACTCCCCTCTTGTATAAATAAATTATGAAACAATATTTAAGATCAAAATGGCATAGTGACTTCAAGTATAAAAAACTAACATACCATGGTTGAAGAACTGGAATAATTTCGCATGCAGATTTTCAACATGCTTGATTCACCAACCCTTGTTGGAGGAAATGTATTAACACCATCTTGGGCGTATACTCCTTCCCTGCTTTTGAAAGAGATGGACATATCAGCACCACAAGAGCTACTAAGCCACCTCACTACTTAATGTTCAATGTCTTATCAAAACCTATTTCACAAACATCTTGAAATACTGATATAGTGGGTTCCTGGATGTTCTACTACTGTTGCCACAATTTTATACTTCTAATGATCAAAGAAAACAGAGTTGCATTATCTGTAACTATTGTTCATCAACATCTTCTGTGCAGACACACTTTGGGACTGCACTTGCACAGGTTGGCTACAGATAGATTTTTCCAGATAAAAAGCCCTCTGAGGGCGCCCCTCCCCCTCAGGAGCCAATGCAAATGGTCTTTCCTGCCCAAACCATCATGTGCTCCGGAGGCAGCGTGCCCTCCTTCCCTCAGTTCCTGTCGGGCTGCCACAAGCAAACACACTACTAGGCGCAGAATGTGAGAGCTAATGGCTGGGCAGGAGAGAGAAAATGTGTGTCTGCACAGAAGATGTCAATGAACAACAGTTACAGGTAAGTGTATTTTCCTCACAGGTAAGTGCAACTCTGTTTTCATCTTCCGTCTTCAATGCAGCCCCACATTGGGACATTAGCAACCTACTAACCAAAGGAGGTGGGGTGAGGGTCTCACTACACATCCGCATCTCTCCTCGCTTGCAGATCCAATGCTTAATGAACATGTCTTCCACTGACCACGTAGCAGCTTTACAGATGTCCACCAGGGGAATCTTCCTATGGAACCAAGCTGAGGAACCTTGTGCTCTCATGGAATGCGCCTCAACTTCTAATGGACACCATTGACCAGCTGCCTCACATCAGGAATGAATGGTAGCTATGACCCACCTAGAGAGGGACTGAGAAGAGGCAACTCTCCCCTTCTTTGGGCCCCAGTAACAAATGAACAAGGCTGTATCCACGTGAAATGGCTTTATCCTCATAATGTACCATAATAAAGCCTTTCTAACATCCAAAGTGTAAGTGCTTTCTCAGCCCTAGAATCTGGGGGTGGAAAGAACAGTGGTAGTACAACCTCCTGTGCCAGGTGAAACTTAGAAACTACCTTTGGAAGGAAATTAAAACTAGGGTGAAGCACTGCCTTCTCATCGAAAGCTTTTAAGAATAGGGGGTTCACCTTCAGGGCTGGTAACTTGCTCACTCTCCTGACCGATGTAACAGCCATGAGGAAACCTACCTTTCTGGAGAGCAAGGCCAGTGGGCATGAAGCCAAAGGCTCGAGGGGTGGCTTCATTAAAAGAGCCA